GCTACCAATATCTATTACGGCTTTTGGTAGTGTGAGGCCTTGGCTTTTGTGCACTGTAATAGCCCATGCAAGGCGAATAGGAACCTACAAACATAAACATGTCATTCCGGATTTTCCTTCCCAGGTGCATTGTATTGGCACGATTGGAACAACTTCTATGCCATTTAACATTTTTACAGTAGATCTTCTATAATTATCAAATAAGATAAAAACTACTGTAGGAAGTGCAGGTGGTCTCTGATCTTCTTCAAACAAAATCCCTTGAACAGTTCCAATTGAACTGTTAACTAATCCTGCTTCTGTCCACAGGTTGGCTGTGAGCATAATGCGAGCACCTTTTGCTAGTAACAGTTCTGCTTCAAGACTATTTGCTATGTCTGAATTCGCATTTTTGGCCTCGTTATCACCTCTATTATGTACTGCAAGAATTTTTGCAATGAGTATGTTTAAGGATCTAAGCATATTCATATTTACTAAATTAACATCTGCTCATTTTGTCAGTATAGACAAAGAATCTTTGAAACAATTATGCTTTATCCTGTTTGTATTATTCTCAAATCATATACTAAGTATTCTCCAGTTACTAATTGTAGACTTTCCATTGCACAATCGTAAGAGAATATCTCTAAAGTTCCGTTGTTCTTCAGAATCACCAGATTGACGCTGAACAATATCAAGTTTATATACTTCTCGAAACTGTTTATACGCTACAATACCATTATTAGACAATGGATCTCGCAAAATAGTTGTGGTGTACATGGGATGGTCAAGTACAGGAGGAAGCTGGCCAAAATCACCAACTAATATTATTGATCTTCCACCAAAAGGCGTGTTATTATGCTCAGGAAAAGCTTGGCGTAACCTTAAATTAATTAAAGCAAGCATTCGACGCCCAATCATGCTTTTTTCATCAATAATTAAATAGATTATATTTTGTAACCTATTCTGCAACTGTTTTAGTCGCTCACCATTTATGTCAAGTTTACTGCTAATAGGTATTGGGATAG